GACAATATTTTCTCTTATTTATAAACTATTTTCTTCTATAAATTATATAAACACATTTCTTAACTACCCGTACACTAATCAAGTATTGTAGCTAGTTAACCAAAGGTCTAACTTGTTACATTACAATATGTAATATGCATTATATTATACTATATCCACTCTCTAGTTGACTGATAAATCACCAATTAAAGCAATTTTATCTTTAATTTTTAATTTTGGATCCCAAAACTTAAATAATTTTGTCAATATGTATAGTTTTAACTCAAATTAACTTAAGTCAATACTATATTTTTTACAAGTTGGCTTATTCAATATATAGGCTTGGTACTACTACAAAAAAAAGTTAAATTAACAAATTTTTCAAAAAGCTTTTTTTATATAAAGGTCATTTTTTACTTAAAATATAAACTTAGTTGTATTAATAAAATCTTGCAGCATAATACTTTAAAATCTAAAATTTATAAATCTTTGTTTTGGTCAATTATCATACTTATTTTTTGATCTACATAAGTTGCGTTCTTGACCCACTAACCCTAACTACCCGCGAAAATAGTAAAACAAAATTTAAATTGTAATAACTTTTAAACAGGAAAATCTAAAATAAAATTATATTTGTCGGGTTCATTTTGTGTGCTCTTTAAAGTAATAACGTCTTTTTTTATTTATTTTTATTGTTTGGAGCATAGTGGAGAACTCAATTTTCATGCAAAATGGTCGACAAAAAATTCAAAACTACGTTTTTGATATATTTTATTAAAAAAGCATCAAAGCTACTATTTATGCTACCACTGATTGATTAACGATATACTAAACTGTGTTTGTGTAATTAGACTTGCCAATAAATTAGCGTAAAATTGTCATCATATGACTTTGTAAAGATCGATGATTTTTGATTATAAAAAAACTTTATCAGATAATAATTTATTTTATCTCTAGCACCTGGCCTTTGAGTGCTTCTGACAAGATTCTTTCAAAATTTCCTGCAGAACTTTTACTGAATTAAATTTAATTTAAATTCGTCGTCGGCAAAATGGCACAAGTTAACGGGTAAGACAAGTCCATTAAGCATTATTATTATAATGTAACACAGTATTGTAAATTTAATGGTATTAATCCTGAAAAATATTATTCAGAGTGGAAAATGACAGGCAGTTCTCATATCCAGATGTGCATTCAAATATTGTATCAATTATGAATGCATTGTCTACACCAATTGCATACGAAGGAAAAATGCAAGACAATATATCCGTAAAAATGTTTATATCTATCTGTTATAACTTACAGCCATCAGATCTTCTTGCGTTGGCATGTGCGTGTAAAGATTTCAAAAATATGCTTGACGAGAATATTAATCCATTAGCTGGGGAAATATGGAGTAATTCTAGAGATCGGTTTACTATTTTTAAAGATAAGGATCCTCCGACGGGAATGAATCAACAAACTTTTGCAAGATTATTAACATTTAAAAATGGCTGTCAATTTTGTAAAACTGAAGAGAGAACGCCCACTGTATATTGGGTTCCTGGTGTTCGCTCTTGTAGAGAATGTATGCTTCAAAGAGCATTTAGGTAATTTGATTTACTGCCTTATATATTGCTTAATAGTAATTTGATTTCATTTAAAACTTTATTCATAATAGTTTTCGTGAATTTCAAGATAGTTTTAATGTTGATAACGAAATTCTTGGACTTATTGTACCTGTAACCCCAAATATATATTTATCTGATGCCCGAGATGAATCAACCTATTATTGGATCAGTCATGTCAAGGGTACTATCGCATTTTTTATGAATGCAGATGATAATACACGGTCCGAATTGAATAGGCTGAGAGAAAACGTTGGGATCATTTCTAAAGAAGCCCAACATTATCATGAATGGACAAATAGCTTATATCAATCTCAAATTAGAGATCAAAAAATACTTTTTGAAAGATTTCTTTCAGAGATTAAAATAGAGACTTTATTTAAACTACAACGTGATGAAGATTACCAAAGATTGGTGTTAAAAATACAAACAAATCCCTTTTTGTTTCAAGATTGGCAGAAATATAAAGCAAGAATTTTACAAATTGTACAAAAAAATTCTTGTAATGAATTTAACATTCAGGAAGAACCTTTGATTGCTGCATTTAATGGTATGGCTAAACGAAAGTTTGATAATACACCGAATTCATCGAGCTTTCAACAAGGGACTGCTAAAAAGTCTAAATCAAATGGTCAACGGAATCCGGAGTTATTCGATCCAAATAAAAGACGAACCAGAATTATTAAACGTCTAAGGAAATTAACATATGGTACAATTCAAAAGTCACCAGAAGAATCTCTAATAAGCATTCGGGACCCATTATATGCATATTTATCGATGTGCCCAAGCTTCGTAAATCCACCTATGATTAATGGATCTGATTATTCCAAAGAATTTTTCGAAGAAACTCTTATACCAACACTCAAAAGGGAAGCAGAACAACTTCGCGCGAGTAATGTGCCCCCACCACCTTATATACTTGACATGGAGGGAGCGATAGAACTTGGCTTCGGAAGCGTGCCAATTTTTGGGTGTCTTCTTTGCACCTCAATTATCCCGTGTACTTTTAAAAAAATGAAGCAGCATGCTAAAAATTTTCATAAAATTGATGCTAATCCTGAGAGGGTGATTTCAGTTAATTGTGATGCGATGATAACATATATGCATCTTGCATTTATTAAAAAGAAAAAAAAAGATCATTAATTAGTTTATATATACACATATATATGAAATATATGTATGTATGTATATTTTTTTTTTAAAACAAACCCCATTTTATTTATAGTGAGTACACTGTGAATCATATTGTATCTTATTATTGTTATTATGAAATAAAGAGCAGCTTTGGCTTTGGCAGCACAAGTTCTTTTAAATCATATTCTTAATGAGCCTGCATATTATCTAAAATTTCCATTTCATGTATTCTAAACATATAAAGCCAAATACAAAGTTTCTAGCCTTCTACAAAGAATTATGAATCGAGCTACAGTCCTAGATAAAAATCCTAGCTATGACAAAAAAGAACTTACCACCATGACGACGAACTCGTAATAAAACTTAAAGACAAAATACTCGAAAAATAATATTTAAACCGACTAATTACAATCGACAGAAATAACATTTCACAATGATAGTTTATTTATATAGCCCTAAATCTAACGTTCTGATCCTAATTTTTTTTACTTCACACTCTTGCAATGGTCTAAATTAAAATTTCTTTTTTGATATATTATACGTATATAATTTAATGGTAATTGGTCCAGAAGCATAGCTAAAAAATTTTTTAACATTCTTTTATATACACTTTGAAGAAAAATATATTTAATTTTGTTGATATAATTTCAAATATTATTTGTTTCAATTGTCTATAAAATTTGATCAAATATTTTTTTAAAAGCTATTAAACTATAATATTATTTATTTCTAAATTTAATATTGCTTTTTATAAATTTGAATTAACAAATTTGATTTAATAATTTAGTTTTAATAAATGTTTTATAACAATAAATCTTTAATTCGTAATTCGCCTATAAACGATAGTATTCATATAGTAAAAGTTGGGCTAATTGATGAGTATTATAATATACAGTCAGACCTCTCTAAATGCATAGCCGAGTGGCGGCCAAAAAATCATGCATTTAGAGTAGTATTGCATTTAGGGAGGTAAAATCTATAAGTGTTATACGAGTTGGAGCCAAATAATGCCATGCAATTAGAGAGGTCTATGCATTTAGGGAGGTCTAACTGTAGTTCCAATTTTACTTTGCCCTATAGTAAATTTATTTTTTTTACTAAGTTAACTTCTAATAAAAGTTGTAAAACTTTTTCTAATTCAAAATTAGTCCAAATTTTACTATAAGAATACTATTATTTATAGCCGAATTACGAATTAAATTTTTTTTTAGAATATAGCGAATAACACCTAATAGGTAGAAATATTATTAGACCCAACTGGTTCTAGCTAATTTTTAAATTTTTACAATGATGATTTTTTTTTTAACAATTTTTATTTGGACACAAGGTGTATTAACACTTGATTATATAAAAAGATAGAAAAGCCAATCAAAATATTCAATTAAATGCATATTGTAGATTATTTTTTTGTGCAACAAAAATAAAGAAAAAAAATTAATAATATTTCAAAATGTTGTATATAAAACCATCTTTGGAACTTTAAAAAAAATTTCTTGCAAAATTTTAATATAAATTATAATCTGCCTTAATATTAGTTCTCAATATTAATTCTAATATTAGCTAAATTATATTTTATTTATTAGACTTAATTAGGCATCGCAGCCCTGTAATGTGTTTATATATCACATTATAATGATTGATTAATTAAATTTAAAATTATGTGTAATATAGGGTTGTTAAAAGTCTTGTTTGGTTCAACTCTGCTTTAAAGCTAAATTACTCAATGAAAAGTTAATCTCAAATTTGACTTATGCATAAAATGTAATTTGAAATTAATATAATTAGGTCTAGTTCTTAAATAGTCCTATCAGTATTGAAACAATTATTGAGAACAAACATGAATTCTGATCTAAAATTAATAAGATTGAAATTAGTTTTTAATTAGTTGTAGAACAATTACTGAAAATAAACACATATATATATATTACTATTAAAAGTATTATTTAAGTGTTTATTAGAGTTTTGTTTATAAGTAACTACAAGTTAAGTTAATATATTTATACTGAATTAACTTAATTGGTAATTTATCAGTCATCTGGTGTATAAATATAATACAAATCACTATATAAATCACATATATCCTGAATATGGTATTCACACAAAAAAAACTTTTTTTACTAAATTAATCATTCTTTTATATTAAGTAAAAATTATAGAACTCATCAAAGTGCATCTAATAGTAGTAAAATCATTAAAAATGGCCTAGTAGTTGTTGAGCTGATTATGTAAAATTTTTATATAAACTATAGTTTATTTATATAGAATTTTACATAGTTGTCTGATCATTTTTTAGCAATATCTTGACAACTACTTAATAATCTTACTACTGTTATAGAACAGTTTATTATTTTATTAGTTATTATTCCGATATTGTATCTTATTATTTATTTTATTATTATT